GAGAGAGAGAGAGAGAGAGAGAGAGAGAGAGAGAGAGAGAGAGAGAGAGAGAGAGAGAGAAATACACCACTCTGGGGCGTGACAACAAAAATGTGTTATTTCAGGAAATGCATCTGAGTTAGGCAGAGTCACAGAGACAGGGAGGTCGGTATTGCGAGAGGGCACTGTGATCATCCAACCCCTTTATGTGAAGCCTCTTCTAGGAGACTTATCATCTGACTCAGGAGCACTGAGTCTATCTGGAGTCAAGAGTCCATAGGCACTCAGGTAAGCATTTCATAGCACTCTAATTTCAGTGGAAGATGATGTGTGGTTTGTGAAGTTAGAGGTAGTTTAGTGAGCCAAGGCTAACTAGCGTTAGCGCAATCACTGGAAGTCTATGGGTATCTGCTAGCATGCAGTGTGTGTGAGTGTATGTGTTGTTGTGCATACTTGTGTGTTTGTGTATAAGTACATTTTTGTCTATGAGTCGGTGTACAGTGCAGCCAGGTGCCTTCAAATGAGCTCAGACATTTCTGCCCCAAAACAGCGTTATTTAAACTCCATAGCCTCAGTTGTATGTAAGACATTAACCATGTCAAACCTGTTTTAAAGAGTGGGTGCTTGGCTACATTGCTAGAGATGGAGAATGCATGGAAAATATGAGGAAGTCATATTTTTGGCAAGACTATATTAGACCATCGGTTTAGCAACAATGACCACTTCTATGACTATCAGAGCCACTTAAAGCGTCAGTTGTCAGAGCAGCTTACCGATCCCTGCACCTGTACACAGCCTTTCTGAAATTAGCCCACCCAACTATCTCATCCCCATATTGTTATTTATTTTGCTAATTTGCACCCCAGTATCTCTATTTGCACATCATCTTTTGCACATCTATCATTCCAGTATTATACGAAATTGTAACTATTTTGCACTATGGCCTATTTATTGCCTTACCTCCATAACTTACTACATTCGCACACACTGTATATATATTTTCTGTTGTATTTTTTACTTTATGTTTTGTTTACCCCATATGTAACTCTGTGTTGTTGTTTTTATCGCACTGCTTTGCTTTATCTTGGCCAGGTCGCAGTTGTAAATGAGAACTTGTTCTCAACTGGCTTACCTGGTTAAATAAAGGTGAAGTGATAATAAAATAAAATTAAAGACAAAACCTTGTAGGAAACAGAGTGATCATAGCTTTCTAGCAGATGAAAAACAACTCTGTGGGCAACTGTGTGTGTGTTGTGTGTGTTGTGTGTGTTGTGTGCATGTGTATACGCTTGTGAGTTTGTGCGTGTGCACTCATTCATGGGATTGTTATGCTTATTCATCAACACAGAAGGTCATGTTGCAAATTGAAATTGGGAGCCTACGTTGTAGAGCTTTTCAGACAGCTAACTATTAGCTCTGTTAGCTTTAGCTTACATTGACCCACCAGGAAATGTGACTTTCACTGTTTGAAGGAGTGTGTCATCTGAATGTGTTTGAGGCCAAGCCATTTTGAGCGGTGGATAGACAGTTACATTATACAGGGCACTGGTAGCCAACTTCTTCTATTTCATATCAATGTCTCCGTCTTATGACTGTTTCACACAGGAAGTCAGACACTTCCGTAAAAAGGTGCCTTACATTTTGTAACAAAACAGCCAGACTTTTGATGTAGGTCAGGTTTCATGTAGGCTATGTTTCAAGGAATCACACATGACAAAGGTGTGCAAATGCACTTCAACATTTTAACTGTGCCAAGTTTGAACCCTCTGTAATTATTGGGACAGTGACACATTTGTTGTTGTTTTGGTGCTGTACTCCAGCACTTTGGATTTGAAATGATACAATGACTATGAGGTTAAAGTGCAGACTGTCAGCCTTAATTTTAGGGTATTTTCATCCATATCGGGTGAACCGTTTAGATATTACAACGCTTTCTGTACATAGTCCCCCCATTTTTAGTGACCAAAATGTATATTATATGTATATTAAAGTAGTCAGAAGTTTAGTATTTTGTCCCATATTCCTAGCACGCAATGATTATATCAAACCTTTGCTGTTTTTTTGGTTGTGCTTCAGATTATTTGTGCCAAATAGGAAAATGAATGGTAAATATTGATTGTGTCATTTTGGAATACATTTGATTGGAAATAAGAATATAATATGATTACGGATAGTCCTGAATGAATCGTGAATAATGATGAGTGAGAAAGTTACAGACACACAAATGGTCCTCTGTAGGTCAGCTGGTAGAGCATGGCGCTTGTAACACCAGGGTAGTGGGTTCGATCCCCGGGACCACCCATACACAAAAATTTATGCACGCATGACTGTAAGTTGCTTTGGATAAAAGTGTCTGCTAAATGGCATATTCTATATTACCTCTCACCATTACAATAACAAGGGAGGTTAGCATTTTTTGGGGGGTATGATATTTGTTTGTCAGTAACTTTCTCTCTCATCATTATTCACGATTCATTCAGGATTATCCGTAATCATGGTAGCATCCACATTAATTTAGAAGTGTTTAGAAAGTCTTATTTACACTACAAGTGACTCCAAAATGACACAATACATTATTTACCATTCATTTCTATTGGGCACAAAATAATCTGAAACACACCCAAAACAAACAGAAAATGCATCCAACAAGCTTGTAGATTCATAAACCTTATGTAATCATTGCGTTCTAGGAATATGGGACCAAATACTACACTTTTTACAACTTTAATACACATATAAGTGAATGTGTCCCAATACTTTTGGTCACCTAAAATGGGGGGAGAATGTACAAAAAGTGCTGGAGTACAGAGCCAAAACAACAATACATGTGTCACTGTCCCAATAATTACGGAGGGCACTGTAAGTGATCAAAATGTTAATCATAGGGTAAAAGACTAGTCTTACAGAGCTGCTTTTATGCTGTGTGTCTGAATTAGACAAAGCCTCCCACCCGAGGTCCACATTGCTTATTTTAGCAGGGTCTATTCAAATCAGAAGACGGGGAATAAGTTGGGTCTATTCAAATCAGAAGAGGGGGAAATAAGTTGATGCAGTATCTGTAACCTTTACCAGGCAAAACAGGCAGATGCTGATGGGTGTTGAAAATGTACATTATGTGCAAACCCAGAGGCATAACCATTAGATATGCAAACTTGAAGGGATACGCACGTGGGTTTACAGTGTGATTTCCCACCTATCTGACCTACTTCATTAACTTAAGTGTCTGGTTTTATCTTTGTTCAAGGTTTCTAACGTATGTGGTCAACAAGAAGGTCCTAGCTGTGGTTTATATAACCACATATGAGTAGGTGATAATACGCATAGTCTGAATCTCCTATCATTCTCACACAGATTAATGAAATAACATGTAGCTGACTGGTTGCAAAGTGGGTCTTCATAATCCATGCAATTGGTTAATTACCTTTTTACCATAGACTATGTCAAACACACCTATGACAGAGTCAGTGCATTTAAGGAAAACTGGTAGCTGCAGTGTATCTTAGACTTCCTCTACTGTACAAATGTTTTTACCCTTCAGGCTATCAGAACCATCTAGCTCCAAAGGCTGGGTGATGTGACATGTTTTATCATACTTCCTGTTGGTATCCGAGCAACCATGCAGCATCATGGAGTGTTCCATTGAAAACATCCCCTGAGGAATAGAAGATCAAACAGATTACATCACATTTACTTATTGAGTAGACACCCGTTTCCAGGAGCAATTATATCATTGTTTGCACTTTTATCCATTTGTGCCACTGGACCTTGAGTGAAGCGATATTAACCCCTGCAATAACAGGTCATACACAGTCCTACAATTACAGTACTTAATGTACTGTGCAATGCTACATGATGAGGTATTCAGAAGATTCTAGAGAGAATATGTCATTGGGAATAAGGTCATAGGCTAAGATTATGGAAATTTGGACTTAGTTTATTTTATCCTGGAACTTCTCCTTTGTCGAGATAATACTATACTGAACAAAAATATAAAGGCAACATGCAACAATTTCTAAGATTTTGAGTTACAGTTCAAATAGGAAATCAGTCGATTTTAATAAATACATTAGGCCCTAATCTATGTATTTCACATGACTGGGCAGGGGCACAACCGTGGGTGGGCCTGGGAGGGCATAGGCCCACCCACTTGGGAGCCAGGCCCAGCCAATCAGAATGAGTTTTTCCCCACAAAATGTCTTCATTACAGACAGAAATGCTCCTCAGTTTCATCAGCTGTCCGAGTGGCTGGTCCCGCAGGTGAAGTAGCCGTATGTGGACGTCCTGGGCTGGCCTGGTTACACGTGGTTTGCGGTTGTGAGGCCGATTGGATGTACTTCCAAATTCTCTAAAACGACGTTGGAGGCAGCTTATGGTTGCTCTGGTGGACATTCCTGCAGTCAGCATGCCAATTGCACGCTCCCTCAAAACTTGAGACATCTGTGGCATTGTGTTGTGTGACAAAACTGCACATTTTAGAGTGGTCTTTTATTGTCCCCAGCACAAAGTGCACCTGTGTAATGATCATGCTGTTTAATCAGCTTCTTGATATACCACACCTGTCAAATGGATGGACTATCTTGGCAAAGGAGAAATGTTAATTAACAGGGATACGCTTTTTGTGCGTGTGGAACATTTCTGGGATCTTTTATTTCAGCTCATGAAACATGGGACCAAGACTTTTATATTTTTGTTCAGTATATATAAAGTGTAATATTGGGACACAAACTCAAAATTGAATACATTTCAACTGTATATCTGACATGGTACAGCTGTCTTTTTTTTAAGACCATGACCATGTGTGTGAAGTGTACACTTTTGTTTTAAAGTAGATTTGTTTAAGACTACCAAGAATCACTCTGTGTGACCGGATTTAGCCCACTGCAGTAAAATTATAAAGGTAATTTGACAGAGAAAACCAGCGTACATCAGTGAACTAGCATGGCTGAGACCAGACAATCAGATATTTCACTTAACCCACTTATTCTGTCTCATCAACTCTCCATATCCTTCCCAGAGTCAAAATGGAGTCATTCAGCTCTAAGGACATGGCCATGAAGGCCCAGAAGAAAATCCTCAGCCACATGGCCAGCAAATCCATGGTGCAGATGTTAATTGACGACACCAGCAGCGAAATCCTAGACGAGTTCTACCGCATCTCCAAGGAACACTCTGGAAACCGCACAGAGGCCCAGAAGGTGGTCAAGGACCTGGTAAAGGTGGTGGTAAAGGTGGGCGTTCTCTTTCGGCACAACCGCTTCAGTAAAGAGGAGCTCAGCCTGGCTCAGGACTTCAAGAAGAAGCTGCACCAGGGGGCCATGACAGCAATCAGCTTCCAGGAGGTAACTTTACATCAGAAAGTTTTGAACTCTTCAAAGCCTTATTTGAACTCTGCATGAAGGCCCAACCTAAAGCATGCATGATAGAACCTACTAACATCTCCCTAAGTAATTCATTATACCTACTAAAATGTCAAACTATCTGGACAGAATCCTAAGGGGACTTTAATAGGAAACAACAATGCCCCACTTACAATAGTCTCTATCCTAAAGCCAATACCATAAACTGGCACCTTAAATGGTGATTACAGCTGTTATAATAACTGTGTTGTAATTACTACTGTGCTGTCACTAATATCTTATTCGCCCATCCCTCTGGCCCAGGTGGAGTTCACATTTGATAAGGATGTCATGACGGCGCTTCTGACGGATTGTAGGGACATCCTGCTGAAGCTTGTGGAGAAACACCTGACACCCAAATCCTTCGGGCGTATTCGGCATGTCTTCAACCACTACTCTGACCCAGACCTCCTGACCAACCTCTACACCCCCGGTGGCCCTCTCTGGCCCAGTCTCACAAAGATCTGCAATGGCCTAAACAAACTGGTTGAGGAAGGCAAGCTATGAGTGGGAATTCTGAACAGTGCTGGAAAAATTAGAAACTGTGGCAAGCCTGTTAAAGAATTCTGAATTAAGTTTGCCCAGTGAAAATACCAGGATATATCATCTTGGTAGCTTAATGGGTACACTGACTCAGTGTCAGTTGATGATGTAGATATTGATTTATGTTGGGATCTTTATGAGGACATGGAATCATCATCCTTGCTTTACAACATAAGCCATCTGCATTAGGGCTGGCCGATATATTGTGTATTTATCATTATCACAATATGAATGTGCATGATATGCATAGTCACATTTCAGTATCTCAGGATATTACCTCTACCTCTGCCTAAATGCATTTCAGTCGAATGCTGTTGGAGCTAAGTAAAGTCCCTTCAAATGTGACATATGAAATTTAAAAAGCCTAAAATCACCTATGAAATCCTCCAAAGAAATTTCAAAAAAATACAAACTACTTCTTTGTCAGGACTCCCTGCTTCCAGCACAATAAGAATGCATCTGTGGTCTAATTTCAATTGATTCGTCCTCCTGTTTTAAGATATTCCGGGGAAACTAATGGACTTTAATAGGACAACAGTCTGCCTGCCCAGTCACAGCAGTGGCTAACCTAATTGAAGTACCATTCAAATTAAAAGTGGCTGTCTAGGACCAGCAGACAACAACCTCAATTAGTGTCTGGGGCACATCTATGCATGCAGCCTCAGTATCTGCCGGATCATTGACTGTTTGTTCCGCTTGTTACAAAGATTTTCTGAGGCCAGCTAATGGCATTTCATTTCTGATACATGTCTGAAGTCCTGCTGTACAGTCCTTTGCAATGCATGTGACGATTGAATGCAATTTATATATTGTTTAGTTTTGCAATCATGGCCCATTTTTGGAGAGAAGGTCAGAACCAGAAAAGGGTTTGCTATTGACTACAAAGATTCTATTAGCTATTTTACGTTTGTGTTAAGATCGCACGATGGGGTTGGGGGGCTAGCAGGTCAAAAGTTTGTGTACGCAACATCTTATAAACAAGTTTTTAGTATTTCAACGGTAGCACTTAGCGGATGTTGGGCAATGAGAGAAGAATTAGGCAATAATTGACCATGAACCATAACACTTTCCACAGGAGAAATAGAACTACACAGCAAGTGAACTCTAATGGCATTCCATACCCCTTTGCAAGCTATCTGTTTTCTTTAACTGCCTTAGATGAACACCATTTGAAAGGGAATATCTGCAATTAATGGACTTACGGGCCAAAATATAGTATGTATCTATCAGGCTTGAAGGCTTATTGTGAGTTATCTGTTTTGTTAAACTTCAGACTGGAACCGTTAAAAAGACAGCACACTCAGGCTTTTCCCGGAAAATGGCCTCAGGAAATTTGGCAAGCATGCATCACCTGTCTGCATTGTGAGACTAGATATGCAAACATTGTTCTTGACATTGATTAACTTGTCATTCCAGTTACAGTACATGCCATTAATGCAACAGGTTATTGTATTCTTAGCCATAACTGTGAAAAATGACCGGTTCATGAAGCCATGCTGTCCTCTAGTGGGCTATAGTGAATATTGCACCTGGAGTAGGGTTACTTACTGGCACTTGTAGTTTACCGTAGTTCATGTTGCTTCTTTCAAATCTGATGAATATACAATCAGTACTATTACATAGGCAACTGTATTAATATTATAGAAGGCTACAATAAAAGCCTTAAAATAATCTGCTTCTAGTGAGGTGGGACCCCAACTCATCTTGTACCAGTTAGGACAGAATTATTCTTCCAACATCCATCAGATATGATGATAATTTAATCCCTGTTGTTTGAATCAGAGCAGAGGATTGTATCAAAACACAGATGACCAATGATGATTTGAACTCCATATGTATCCATAGGGGAGAGTGGGGTAATTTGAGCCAAAAGGGTAAATTGAGCTATTGTGTTAGAGGTTTTATGATGCTTATATCTAAACCGAAGTACATCATTTAAGATTGTTTTATGCATCAGTTGGGGTCTCTATAAGCTTCAATATGAGCTCCTACACCTGGCTTGAAAGTGCATGCTTGTAGCTGTGTGGGCTAATAAAGTCCACATCTTTGCCTTGGGGTAAGTTGAGCCAATGGCCATGGGGTAAGTTGTGCCAAAAATGGAAGTTGAAAAAAAATGGAAGTTGAAAAATGGAAGTGTTTTCTTTCCAGATGTAATGCAAGGCATTATCGCTGGGATATGAGGTATCAACAGGGCCTGGCATATGTTAAAAGTGTTTTTTTTTTAAGTACAAAGTGTTTGTTAGGTGTTAAGCCTGTGTTAAACTATGCTTAAAATGATTAAAATACAAAAAAAGCGATAGTGATTGTGTTTGGTAAATAAAGATAGACATGGTTTAAAAAAAGTAGTGGTAATATTTCATTCAGTACAGAAATGTGTAGGTGGCTTAACTTACCCTGTACTGTGGCTCAACTTACCCCATACCTGGGGTCAATTGTGCCAAAATACCACTTTTTTGGGATAAGCTATGTTTTCAAAACTGTAACGTTTACATGAATTCTTTCCAGGGATACACAACATCCTGAAATATATGTAGATACTGTGATGAGGTGATTTTGCAGGAGTCAGGCGCAGGACGGTAAATCACAGCATAACAGGATTTATTCTGAACCACAGAGTTACGCAGTAATGCGTAAAAACACTCCAGTGCGCAAAACAGGGGCACTGGAAAATACAAGGCACACAGGGAATATTCCCGGCGATACAAAATACATGGAGCTCCACCGAGCTTCTCTCTCCTCCACAATAAACAATCACACACAAAGACAAGGGGGCAGAGGGAACACTTATACAGGTACTAATGAGGGGATATGAACCAGGTGTGTGTAATAAACAAGACAAAACAAATGGAATGATGAGATGAGGAGCGGCAGTGGCTAGAAGGCCGGTGACGACAAACGCCGAAGCCTGCCCGAACAAGAAGAGGGGCAGCCTCGGAGGAAGTCGTGACAGATACTGTATATTTTTGAAATAATACTATATTTCCCTTGACAGAGTAATGCTGAATGTAAAAAATGGCTCAACTTACCCCACTCTCCCCTACACATGATGTAACATTTGTTTACGATTGACAGATAATGTTTAAATGCAAAACACTTTATTTTGTGATGGGGCCCTCAGCTCAGTTTGGGAACCTTAATCCAGGCTGGACAGCAGGAACTCAACCTGTATTTCTAGATTCCGCATCACCTCCCCCGAGAGCCTCTCTGGGCTTTCATAGATTGACTCATTGAGGTTGAAGATGGATTCTAGCCATGCCTTCATCTGGCCCTGTTGACAACAGACACATCATCAACTATTATTGAGAGAGAGAGAGAGAGAGAGAGAGAGAGAGAGAGAGAGAGAGAGAGAGAGAGAGAGAGAGAGAGAGAGAGACAAATGTACCTTAACGAGGAGGTAGAAGTTCTCAGCAGCCTCTGTCCAGGCTCCTCCAGGAGGGTCAATCCTCATTATGACTTGCAGGAGCAGATAAAGGAAGCTACCAGGCTCCTGGAGAAGGAACAGGGGACATGAGTGAGTGTCTACAGATCTGATATGACAACAGTGTGTATAGCATAGATAAACAACAGGATGTTCCATTCTTAGGGCCACTTACAGATATAGGAAGAGATGTCTTTCCTTCTAGAAGGCTTAGTAGAACGAATTCATAAAAAACATCTGCGAAGTTGATGCGGTCGATCTGAAGTCAAACAAATAGGATAATTACATAATCTTCATTGACAAGCACTTTAGAAAGTCTCATTGAGTAGATGTTAGATGAGAAGACGGTGCCTGCAGCTAACGCTCAAGCTTGCATGTAGACCTACTCCTACGAGAGCCATCTCCTGCTCTAGTCGCTCCCTGTTTGCTGGCTCATTAATGAAGTTCACCAGTAGGTCGTAGGCCTGCTGAAACTGCCTCACATCCTCAAAACAAAACAATCATAAAATTCCTTAAAACTTAGATCATAAACTCAAAGATTCAGGTCTGTAATTCAAAGGGCCTCCGATTGTTTGGCTAGTATGACGTTGAAACTTTTCAACTAAACCCTATGAATCACTGTTGCCTAAAGGTAACCCACTGTGCAAGAACTGGTTGAATCAATGTTGTATCAATAAAAAATGTCAATGTGATGATGTTGAATCAAAGTGGGAAACTGATTGGATTTGAAAGAAGTCATCAACGTAAGGGAATTTCGTCTTTTAACCTAAATCCAATTACGTTAATTTTTGGGGGGATTTCACATTGAATTCACATTAGTTGACAACTCAACCAAATGTAAATCAAAACGAGACGTTGAAATGACATCTGTGCCCAGTGGGAACTATATATCTGGTCTGATGAACGTTGCACAATTATGTAATTGGTTACCTGCTGGTTGAGCTCGGATAGTCCACTCAACACCATCCTCCCAGCGTGGGTGAGGTAATTGAGGGAGGTACTGTCTGAGGATGTCAGAGCCTGTGAGAACAAGACAGTACATTTACAAATAGTCCAGAAATGTTCATGAAGTGAAATACAAAAGGTGCTAAATTCACATTTTCTCACCTCCATAGCACGTCTGATAGCGGCCAGCCTCAGAGAGAAGTTGGTTGTCCCTTGGTTTTCAAAGTAACGCCTGTAAATAGAAATGTTCAATAACAAATGTTCAACCTAAGAAGCTAAAACATCAGTGCCATGAAATTAAGAAATAATTTTATGTTAGCCTATATTATAACTGCAGGATTCAGAAAGACCATACCAATGTAGGATCTTAATTTGATCACTCTTTTGTTGCTGAGAATTTTCCTGCACGGCAGGAAATGCAAACTTGTAGCGTATTTGGAATTTTCAAGTTTGTAATTTCCACTTTGAAATTTTAGACTCGATTTGCCCTAACGAAAAATGTATCCTGTTGCTGCAGGATTATTTTCCTGCTGTAGCAAACTGTCTCAAATTAAGATCCTACATCTGTATAACTACAATTGGGCAGATTATTTCAAAGCAAAGGTTTTTACTATAGATGAACACATGAAAGCGAACCCACCGCAACTGGGGCACATCTGCAGCATTATTTTGCTCCTCCACAAACTCCTCCTCAAACTCCTAAAACAGACATCACATTAACTTAAACTCTACTAAACTGCATTTCACCTGCAACATCAACTGAAGCAGACAAAACATTCAGTGACATCATAACAATACTTTCATCTTGACCTAACAACTTGACCCTTGACAGACAACACAAACCTATCGATACCAAAACAATGACACACACCTGTACACACAAGTACAAATGAAATAAGAATTATTGACTGTAGAAAGAGTTTTACCTGAGGAGTGCTGTCAGGGGTCTGGTCCTGGTCCTGGGTGGAGTGGTAAGGTGGAGGGGGACTGGGAGGGGAATCGGAAGGGAAAGGGGGAGGCGGAGAATTCTGGGGGAACTGGTGAGAGGAGCCAGAGGACGGCTCATGAGGGGTGGTGATGATGTCAGAGGTGGAGAACTGATATGCCATCATCTCATCCCCCCTCTCCTGGTACCCCTCCACTGTGGTGGAGATATCCACCTGCTGTTTAACACACAACATGTGACACTGTCAGCCCAACACTGAAAACCACCATATTGAAAACCCCTCAACCAAACACTGAAATAAATCATAACACAGAGAAACAACGGGGTGTACCTGGGCATCCTCATAATAGGTGAACTCAGACCTCCTCTTGACAAGGCCGGACATGAGTCCATGGATCCTTCTACCAAGGAACTAAAAATGAGGCAAGAGATTAGAACGTGTAATTTCATTTTCTGTCAACATGTATTTATTCAAATAGGTAAATGGACATTTGCCACTTTACATTTTTTCTGTGAAAAATTGCCTGACTGTACCTTAATACCAATCAGCTTCTTGTTGGTGAGGACCACCTGGACGAGACCCTTTAAAAGAGACAGAGAAACATTACATTTCATCCAGGAAATATAAGTAGACCTATAGCATGTGCGTCATTTGACACAAATCAGGTGCATTTGAGACGAAAGACCAGTTGAGAATCTCTCACCCATGGGTCCAGGATTTTTTCCTGGATGACTCTGCTCCACCACAGCTGCTTCTCCACTCCCCTCACAATGCACAGGTGATGCATGTCCTCTTCATTTTGCTATAAAGAAAAAACTCCTTCAGTCTCCAGACCTCTCTCTATATGTTAGCTGTAGATGTCTATAACATTTGGCAGGCGATTTCAGTTCTGAGTATAATCCCTGGCAGTGATATAGAGCCCACATGATGTTCGTACGACAAGTTTCCCCTAGGTTTCAATTAGGGACAGACATACAAAAGAAAACCCAGAGACAATTGGGAGTTCAAATACACAGGTGTGTTCATAAATGTTAAGAATATGTCTGAAGTACCTGCACTCGTCCATAATGGATATTCCAGTAATGGAAATGAAACGAACCCCAGTTCCCAACCAGCTGCAACTTCTCATAGGGAAAACCAGAGTCTTCCCTATTTGGCTGAAAAACAAAGACATCCCCTAATTATAGAGATTGCTCTGTGATTAATAAGACACACAATTGTGGAGATAGAGGACATGGTAATGTGTACTATTACTAATCAGCTATGACTGTCTAATAATGTGATTGACTACCTGTGAATGGCTATCTGAAGGTGCTGACAGTTCGTCAAGCACTAGCCTCCCAGCTTCAGTGAGGTGAATGGTAGGCTCCTCAATAACCAATTTGGAAGTCTGTGAAAAAAAAGGGAACAGGGTAAAGTAAATTCTCCCTATAAGATCAGATGAGCTTTGGTTAATAATGTGTTTGGTTACCTGTGTGTTTAACACTGCAAGCTCTGTTACCAGCATTCTCCCAGCACGAGTGAGGTAGTAGACTGGTTTGGCCTTGGAGAAGACAGGCTATGAAGACAAGGGAATATGTTTTTTCATTATGTGGTTTTATAGAAAACTAGTGACTTGATGTTAATCTTTAATATCCTCTAAAGACCAGAGAGTATCAGAATGGATAGACTCACAAAGATAGGAACACACAAGGGTCCAGACCAAGGGATTAAAGCCAGACAGGACCGGTGCCCAACCTCCTCATCCACATACTAAGGAACAAGACAGGATTAAATTAAGAGTCAGTTTGAATGATAGACAGGTAGCCTATAGGACTGACAGACTGGAATAGGGAGGATCGCAAGAGGAGGCCACTGCATGATAGATTCTAAGACAATTGGCAGTTGAAATACACATGTCTGTGTTCAAAGGTTAAGGAAACATCTGAGGTACCTGCCTATGAATGGTTACCTGTTCATTTTGAGAGGACAGTTCCTCCCATACCATCCTCCTAGCAGGAGTGAAACTGATGATAATGGGCTGCTCCATTGTGAAAATCTGAGAAAATTAGGGAACAGCTTTAAAGATATCAAAGTATTCTACTAGTGGATACTGAAGGTAATTATCCCTATTAGATCAGATGAGTAATGGTTAATAATCTGAATGGTTACCTGTGTGTTTAACATTGCCATCTCTCTCACCAGCATCCTCCCAGCGTGGGTAAGATAATAAATTGGCTGCAGTTTGACAGGCTATAAAAAAAGGGAATATGTTTACAGAAATGTATTTCCAGAAGTTTCTTTTAGAAAAAGTTATGTTTATGTTTAAGCCCCTCTAAAGACCAGAGAGTATCAGAATGGATGGACTTACAGCGTTTGAAACCCACAGAGGTCCAGACCAAGGGATTAAAGCCAGACAGGGCTGCTGCCGAACCTCCTCATCCACGTACTAAGGAACAAGACAGGATCAATTTAAGAGTCAGTTTGAATGATAGACTGGTACTGTATAGGAGTAAAATATTGGCATAGGGAAGATTGCAAGAGGAGGCCACTGCAATGATAATAGTTGAAATACACAGGTCTGAGATATAAATGTTAAGAACATGTCTGAAGTACCTGCAGATGAATGGCTACCTCTTCAAGCTGAGAGGACAGTTCATCTAATACCATCATGCCAGCACGAGAGATGAAAATGTGCTGCTCAATCTTGCAAATCTGTAAGAAAATGAGGGAACAGTTTTAAGGGCATCAAAGTATCCCACTACCATAGTAGATACTGAAGGTAATCCTGCCAATTAGATAAAATGAGCTTTGTCCAATAATCTGCATGGTTACCTGTGTGTTTAACACTGCCAGCTCTCTCACCAGCATCCGTCCAGCATGGGTAAGGTAATAAGTTGGCTGCAGTGTTACAGACTATTACAAAAATAGGGAATATGTTTACAGAAATGTATTTTAATATTGTTCTACAGAAAGCATCATGTTTATGTTTAAGTTACATAAACCAGTCTAAAGACCAAAGAGTATCAGAATGGATGGACTTACAGAGCTGGGAACCCACAGAGGACCAGACCAAGGGATTAAAGCCAGACAGGTCCGCTGCCCAACCTCCTCATCCACATACTAAGGAACAAGACAGGATCAAATTAAAAGTCAGTTTGAATGATAGACAGGTAGCCTATAGGTCTGACAGACTGCTATAGGGAGGATCACAAGAGGAGGCTACTGCATGATAGATTCTGAGACACTACACAGGTCTGTGTTGAAAGGTTAAGGAAACATCTGAGGTACCTGCCTATGAATGGTTACCTGTTCATTTTGAGAGGACAGTTCCTCCCATACCATCCTCCTAGCAGGAGTGAAACTGATGATAATGGGCTGCTCCATTGTGAAAATCTGAGAAAATGAGGGAACAGCTTTAAAGATATAAAAGTATTCTACTAGTGGATACTGAAGGTAATTATCCCTATTAGATCAGATAAGTAATGGTTAATAATCTGAATGGTTACCTGTGTGTTTAACATTGCCATCTCTCTCACCAGCATCCTCCCAGCGTGGGTAAGATAATAAATTGGCTGCAGTTTGACAGGCTATAAAAAAAGGGAATATGTTTACAGAAATGTATTTCCAGAAGTTTCTTTTAGAAAAAGTTATGTTTATGTTTAAGCTCCCCTAAAGACCAGAGAGTATCAGAATGGATGGACTTACAGCGTTTGAAACCCACAGAGGTCCAGACCAAGGGATTAAAGCCAGACAGGGCTGCTGCCGAACCTCCTCATCAACGTACTAAGGAACAAGACAGGATCAATTTAAGAGTCAGTTTGAATGATAGACTGGTACTGTATAGGAGTAAAATATTGGCATAGGGAAGATTGCAAGAGGAGGCCACTGCAATGATAATAGTTGAAATACACAGGTCTGAGATATAAATGTTAAGAACATGTCTGAAGTACCTGCAGATGAATGGCTACCTCTTCAAGCTGAGAGGACAGTTCATCCAATACCATCATGCCAGCACGAGAGATGAAAATGTGCTGCTCAATCTTGCAAATCTGTAAGAAAATGAGGGAACAGTTTTAAGGGCATCAAAGTATCCCACTACCATAGTAGATACTGAAGGTAATCCTGCCAATTAGATAAAATTAGCTTTGTCCAATAATCTGCATGGTTACCTGTGTGTTTAACACTGCCAGCTCTCTCACCAGCATCCGTCCAGCATGGGTAAGGTAATATGTTGGCTGCAGTTATAAAAAATAGGGAATATGTTTACAGAAATGTATTTCCATATTGTTCTTCAGAAAACGTCATGTTTATGTTTAAAGTACATAAACCAGTTTTAAGACCAGAGAGAAGACCAAAGAGTATCAGAATGGATGGACTTACAGAGCTGGGAACCCACAGAGGTCCAGACCAAGGGATTAAAGCCAGACAGGGCCGGTGCCCAACCTCCTCAACCACATACTAAGGAAGAAAATCAGGATCAATTTATGAGTCAGTAAAATGACAGTTTGAATGACAGATTGTTATTGAACCAATCCTGCTAATGAAGCAGTATTGTTATAGCCTGGGTGCCAGTCTGTTTCAGCTCTCTGTCCACTCCTTATGGGATTGTGATGCCAATATCATATTGCCACGATGGAATTGGCAAGAGAGCAGAAAGACTGGCACCCAAGCTATTGATAGGCCTGCAGCATTCTTACCTGAACAAGGACTGGGTCCTCCTGGTCCAGGGTGGGCTCATTATCTTTATGAAAAACAATAAAGGATTGTTTTCTCTAAGTTTAAGAAATACTAGCTACAAGACACCAGACATCTGTCCATGTAGTTAGGCTGATCATATATTTACTTGTGTTTTATATTGTATGACATCAAATGTATTTATGTGTCTGCATAATGTACCAACATGTTCAATTAAACCTAAAGCAAAGGTTTGGTTTCAAAGGAGCAAGTTTGTTTGTTGTTGTTAATCTAGGGCTACACTGTAAAAAATGTCATCACCATGATTGCTACCTAAATGACACCCTATTCCCTATTTAGTGCACTACTTTTGACCAGCGCCTTTTAACCATAGAACTATGGGTCCTGGTCAAAATAAGAAATAGGGTATTGGGTGGCATTTGGGACTATTACTATTTAGACATTGTCAAATATGTAAACTTACCCTCCTCAACCGTGACAACACGGTCCACGCTCTCCACGGTGGCCAGTGCATCCTCACCGATACCGTAATATTTGCTATAAAAGTAGACTGCCGAACCGGTCGCAAACAACAGGCCAGCTGCACTCAGAAGCGGCCTCTCGCGGAGGAATCTCAGCGGGGTCGCTGTCAACAAACGACTGAACATAGACCTACTCATTATCGCTCTACATACTGCAGTGATTTTGACTGAGTTCAAAACCATCTGACAATTCTTTCTTAGAATTACAGGGTTTTATAGGGACCATTAATACGTCAAATTCTTCCATAAGTCATGGTTGGCTATGTCACAATGGGACAAACATGTTTATCAAACTGATTAAAAACCACTCAACAGTGACATCAATTAAATTGAATTTTGAGCATGATTTGGGAGTTTATACAATTGTAAACTATGAAACCATTGTTTAGAGAACAGTAGGAGTATAACCATTTAGAAAATACTGTATCAATGGCTCTGAGTAGGAGTAGAAGGGACAGCGTCACAATGCGCTCGCCATGGTTCTGAAAAAGAACGTTGCTGCGTTCATCAGCTCTGTGATGTTCTAGGCGGAGACACTCACTGAACACCTCACTTTCACCTTCAAGGTGTCAAAGCGTTCAACCAACATGCATTGGACTAAAACATCATTCAAATAGTTACTAAAAAGCCTACAGATATGTTTTACATTATTATTTTAAATCTCCTGCATAAATCAGCTGAGATAGCCTACTCTTCTCATCTCTTCGCCCTCCTGCCCTGGTGGTTATATCTGAGCGTTTTGATAACTGATTGATAATTTGGATTATTCATATCCAAAGTGAAATGCTGATTGTGTCATATTTATAATGTAGGCCTAGTAGCCCACGTTTCATGACATAACCCTAATCCTAAAATAGACTAAAATTGAAACCCTGGGCGAGCACACAAGCTCTGGCTGTACAGCCGGCAACAATAATACATCCAAAGAGGGTGGCTGTTGAGGAAAACCAGTACACCAACACAAATCTTCATTAGGAGATAAAAGTAATCAGAGGCTAAAAGAAAATGGCAGACAATAGAAATCGAATGCGTATGTTACGGCTGGTTAGTGTTTTAATTACGAAGGACTCCCACAAATCTATTGTCTCTCTAAAAAACTGTAGGCTGCATATTGGTGGTCAAAGTGGTCGAAACGGTGTAGTGATCCTCGCTAATACAGTGAGCCACATTACAATTCTGACCAAGTGGGTTAAATCTGTTGGAGCGATGCGTAGGGTGTGTGCCTTTCACGCATGTAACCTGGGTTCGCTTCCTCGCCCCTTGTTTGCTACAATATTTTAGGAAAGGGACATCTTCATGACCAACAATCTTACTCTAAAAACGTTTGTGAAAAAAGTTTGGTCAGTCTGTGAAAGTTAGAAAAGGTTGGTTAGTCTGTGAAAGTTAGAAACTTCCAGCAGGAATTGACAGTCATCAGTCAAGGTGGTTGGATTATATAGCTACAGTGGTGCTATGGTTCCAAAAGTGCTGGTGATAAAATTAACATTACTGGCATACACATTTCAAAACAAAAGCCTATGATCAGGTATGGAGTTTTGGAAATGTTCTTAAACCCAACAGTCTATACTCTATAGCACAAAGTGTGATGTCCCCAATGATAAAATTGCATGTTATTCTAATTGTGAGATGTGTTACAGTTTACAATAGGCTACTTGGGTCTACTATACCTTCATCCTTTATTAAAGCATTCGGTTGCTAGCATTATCTCCACAAGCAAGGGTATCCTGGGGAAAGACAAATCTTCTCCTCCCAGTAGACTAACTGAATCAAAGCCTCTAACATTACTCCTAGATAGCCATGTAAACACGAACCTCAGTGGCAGAGCTAAAGCTCGTCTGAGATCTTGCATAGGCTGCTGTTTACCATAATCAGGATATTTTTTTACAAACCTTGGCGATACTTTCTTTGTTCTCGATTCGGAAGAAACTTGTCTCTTATGAACATCTGTGTGCAGTTGCAGGTGGAACTCCAAAAAACAGAGAATGTTCAGAAAAATATTAAATCCACTTTTTGTATTGAGCGATAAATACCTCTTGCATATGTGTAGATCTTTCTTTTGTTCGCACTGTGGGAAGTGCTGTCATTAAGGCTACTTCTACAAGCGGCCGCAGCCGCTTCGCATAGAAACGACTAGTTACTGCAACGGTGTTGGGAAATGTGAGATGTGCACAGCTAAAATGCCGAGGACTGTGCAAAAGGTGGATTTAATATATTTTTTGTCGAATTTTCTCTAGTTTTTGGAGTATGCTACCTGTAACTGCACACAGACGTTTATAAGAGACACATTTCTTCCTAGGTTAGGGGTCTATAATTGTAAAATAAATGTGTTTGATTGAATAACTTGCCTAATCTAACTATCGTGGTCATACATCTGGACTCTTCATCATCATCATCAACACTTTGAATTACTAAGGAATATTCCTATAGCAACTGGTTGCTAGGGGAAACGAGACACTAGCATTATCCTCTTGTTGTGAGACTGAGAGGGAGGATTGGAGAAGTGCACGAGGAGGGGTGGTAAGCAGAGAAGACGGAGCATGGTTGAAATTCCACCAAATGGATAAGAAGAGGCAGACAAAGTTTGACACATTTATGTTTTCAGTGGTTGACCGACACGAATGAACGAGTAAACCTTGTTTTAGCCTAGTGAAGTATCACAAATTAATACCTCAGTATTAATTATCCACTGCACGGAATCTCCATGAGGGCACAAGTCTGCATGACGATTTTCGCGTAAAGAGGCAGCGCGGGAGAGCTGACTTGTCGCCTGGCAGGTATGTTCTGCTATTTTGAATAAAGCTAGCCATACAGCTAATATAAGTTTTAGGCTATTATTAATTTCCTATAGCTAACTAAATAAATGAAGCTATCTAACAGCAATGCTGTTGTGGGCTTACACATGTAATAATTACAACCAGGAGCCTATAACGGAGGAAGTCAGCTTTTCAGTCAGTCCTATCATTTAAATTGAAAATAGGTTATTATAACAGAAGGTAAACACACATTTACAATAATTGTTAGGTCTATGTTATTAGCCAAAAATGTACTGATACAAGTACAGAAACATTCATAGCCAGAGGCAACCTAGGCTACACTGCAATTAACACTATACTTATTATACACGCTATGTTCTACAGTGCTGATTCTAAGAACAGGGTTAATTCCCATAAAGTATTAGTATCTCTGTCTCTATCACATACATGCATGGCCAAGGAAGATAGGTTGCATAAACAGATAGGCCTACAAATATAGAGCGATAAGGCGCAAGGGGAAGAGAATAAACAGTGAGAGGGCAAGAATTGGTGAGTACGCTCTGTCCTGTAAATGCCAGAGCACATCAGCGCCGGAGCTACATCTAGTTTGATGTAAGGAAGTAGCCTACTCGATTGCCTATCCAGGGGCCTTGTATGTGATCAGACCTGTTGAAGGTGGGGTTCGTGTGTGTGAAAGTGTGAGTATGTATAGCTGTAAGTATGAGAACGTATCAGTGTAAACACATTGCCATTTGAGTTTGGCCACAATGTACTAGTATCCAGAGTATTTAAGTGTGAAACCTCATCCTCCCTGTTCTACTTCAGAAGGATTTCTTCACATTTCTTCTGTCCTCCAGATAAATGGGTGCATTTTGTTTAAAATATGTTTAATCATGAAGCCACCCTTTGCCTTTATGACAGCTTTGCACACTCTTGGCATTCTCTCAACCAGCTTCATGAGGTAGTCACCTGGAAACAACAGAGGGTGCACCCCCCTATCCACATCGATGGGACTGCAGTGGAGAAGGTGGAAAGATTCATGTTCCTTGGTGTTCACATCACTGACAAACTGAAATGGACCACCCACACAGACAGTGTGGTGAAGAAGGTGCAACAGAGCCTCTTCAACCTCAGGAGGCTAAAGACATTTGGCTTGGCACCTAAAACCCTCACAAACTTTTACAGATGCACAATTGAGAGCATCCTGTTGGGCTGTATCACCGCCTGGTACGGCAACTGCACCGCCCGCAAGGCTCTCCAGAGGGTGGTGCGGTGTGCACAATGCATTACCGGGGGCAAACTACCCGCCCTCCAGGACACCTACAGCACCCGATGTCACAGGAAGGCCAAAAAGATCATCAAGGACATCAACCACCCGAGCCACTGTCTGTTCACCACGCTATCATCCAGAAGGCGAGGTCTGTACAGATGCATAAAAGCTGGGACCGACACTGAAAAACAGCTTCTATCTCAAGGCCATCAGACTGTTAAACAGACATCACTAGCACATTAGAAGCTGCTGCCTATAGACATAGACTAGAAATCACTGGCCACTTTAAGAAATGGAACACTAGCCACTTCAATAATGTTTACATATCTTGCATTACTCATCTCAAATGTATATACTGAATTCTATACTATTCTACGGTATCTTAGTCACTTTAATAATGTTTATATATCAGCATTACTCATCTCATATGTCTATACTGTATTCTATACTATTCTACTGTATCTGAGTCCATGCCGCTCTAACATCGCTCGTCCATATATGTACAGTTGAAGTCGGAAGTTTACATACACCTTAGCCAAATACATTTAAAATGAGTTTTTTCACAATTCCTGACATTTAATCCTAGTAAAAATTCCCTGTCTTAGGTCAGTTAGGATCACCACTTTATTTTAAGAATGTGAAATGTCAGAATAATAGTAGAGAGAATTATTTATTTCAGCTTTTATTTCTTTCATCACATTTCCAGTGGGTCAGAAGTTTACATACACTCAATTAGTATTTGGTAGCATTGCCTTTAAATTGTTTAACTTGGGTCTGTCACGTACGTTGAATGATGGGTCAGACCAAGGCGCAGCGTGATATGCATACATGTTTATTTTAACTGAATAAACACCACGACAAAACAATACACGAAACGAAACGTGAAGTCCATGGTAGTACAGAAAACAAACCTTACACGGAACAAGATCCCACAACAAGACAGTGCCAATAGGCTGCCTAAGTATGGTCCCCAATCAGAGACAACGAGCGACAGCTGCCTCTAATTGGGAACCACCCCGGCCAACATAGAACTAGACATACTAGATCCTATACATAGAAAAGGCACAACAAGAAATATACACACCCTGGCACAACATATAAGTGTCCCCTGAGTC